GAGAGAGAGAGAGAGAGAGAGAGAGAGAGAGAGAGAGAGAGAGAGAGAGAGAAACATTGACACGAATTTTGATTATTTATGCGTACTAACATTCCTTTCCTTCCTCTTTGTTCCTGTACACTGCGTGATTTCATGTCCTGTTCTGGGTATGTTGACAGAGAATTATTGCTTTAGTCCAAATTTTTCACCATTTACCCCCCTTACCATTTGTGTTCAGAGCTTTGAAATAAGGGACAGTTTTCCACCTGCCCAAGTCTTTCATGATTTGACCCTGTTTTCAGAACAGAAATCGGTGTGATTCTATCGCCTATGTAAGTAACGGCATCTATTGCCTCTGTGCATGGCCTAGTGCGACCCACTCCCACTCCCCACTTCCCACTCCCACTCCCACTCCCACTCCCACTCCCACTCTGGCATTCAATTGCACCCACCTCTCCCTTTTACTTCACCAAGGTATCTTGGGTGATTTTTTTTTCTCTACTACCGCTTTGTTTTACAACCTGGGAACCAGATTAGATTTTTTCCCCTTTAGATTTTAGATAATGAAAAAAAAAAAAAGTACACGGGTTACATTTGTAGTTGAAGCATTTCGAGGAGATCTTTATTCTGTGCTTTTTTCCATTTTCATTTTCAATCATTGTTTTGGTTTCGTCGTCTTTTAAAAATTCTTTCTTTGTCAGTGCTGTCTTCTTTAAACGAACAAACAAATGAACAGCCCCTAAAAAACAACACACACACACACACACACACACACACACACACACACACACACACACACAAACACACACACACACACACACTCACACACACTCACATAAGGTTTTGTAAGCTTAAGTTATTGTTCTCAAGTAGTATTTCTTTCTTTTTTATATTTTGAATTATTTCCACTTAGTTCTTGTAGTTGAATCTTTATTTGCATGTTTATATTTTTGAGATTATTGCTTGCACTTTTTTTGTGGAAATTTTCTTTTACCTCCTTGGGGATACGTTATTAAAGAAAACATTCTTTCATAAGTTATTATTCTCAGTTTTCCCCCCTTTGAGTTCTTATGACGTTGTACAGTATTATTGGAGTTTCATTTCTGGTCTTTAATGATAATTCCCTTAATCAATAAATCCGTGCTGAGCTCCAGGAAAACGTTCTAGTTCGCAATTTACTGCACGGCTTGAACCGTTGAAAGATTACGTAGAATCAATCGTTTGCGAATAAGTAAAATGAGACTTGTTAAAGATGATTTAATTTGGGCTTAATTTTTATGTCTCTTATGTTGCTTATATTATAGGACCTAAAGATATAATCTTCAGCTTTTACATAAATACTACTTGTCTTTTGCGTGTCACGTTGGGCCATGTTGAACGTCAATAAAAATTCGAAACTTCATTTCGAATGAAATTAAATATATTTATTGTTTTCCATCTATTACTAAGTTCTGTTTATTTGTCAGTTGAATGAGGTTAGATTGTTCGGGTTCCACGTATTACTTTATTAACGCTATAACACGAAAAAGATTTAGGAGGAGGAGGAGGAGGAGGAGGAGGAGGAGGAGGAGGAGGAGGAGGAGGAGGAGGAGGAGAAGAAGAAGAAGAAGAAGAAGAAGAAGAAGAAGAAGAAGAAGAAGAAGAAGAAGAAGAAGAAGAAGAAGAAGAAAAAGAAGAAGAAGAAGAAGAAGAAGAAGAAGAAGAAGGTGATGATGATGATGATGATGAAATGCTCCTGATTCAAATCATTTCAGTCTTTTACAATACAGAGTAATAATATTGTCTGTATTTGCATGCTTTCCCTTTTTCTATTTCCTTTTTAGAAGCTATGTGCAAGATTTTAAACTTGACAACGTACCAGTCACATTTCGAGATTCCGTTAAATCTTTAATTTCGGGTGGAGAAAATAAAGACAAAAGGCGGGGGTGGTGGGATCTTCTTAATTGTTTATAATTGGGTTGCTAACTGCGGTTCTTATGGGCTGTCCGCACCTGTTTCTTGTTTGTTTTGTTTTTATCCCAAATCCACCGGGTAGTAATTACGCGTGCCTGCACAGACAAAAAGGTTCAGCTGATTGGTAAAGCAGTACATTATATTATAAGTAGAAGAGGGGGTTGGGGGGGGGGGGGGGGGGGCTTAAATAGCATTATTTTTACAAAAATAAAACGTTGATCCCTCAAGAGATACGATCAACAGTACAAAAACAATGTTAACCTGCTGATGCACTTCGTCTGTCAATGTAACTTTTTTAAAGTTCACTTTTAATTTTTTCTTATTTTTTTTTCTTCTGATTTTTAAAAAGTTTTTTTTGTGGGTGGTTCGCGGGTGCTCTAGTGTGGTTTGCTCCTTCTTTCCTATCAAACATCTATCGTCTTTATCTCCCTTCCTTCTTTTTTGTGTTTGTTACTTCCTTGTAACACCTCTAATCTTCGGTACTTATGTGACCTTATTGTGTTGCAAGTGACGTAAAACTCTTACTAAAACTAAACTAAAAGTTTTGTTAGGTCTCTTTTACTTTTTTTAATCTTAATTTTCCCCCCTATGGAAATAAAAAAAGGTATGTTTTTTTAGTTGTGAAATATTGCATTCCACGGACAGTAGGCCTGGTCCATCATTATGGGTTGTCTTGTTACGACTTTAGCTACGATGTTAAATAACAAGAGGTATCAACCACAGCGACCGCTGGATTTGGAGTATATTGGCAATTAAAAGATATGAGATTTGATGAGTTATAGCTGTTTTGAGTCAATGAAAATATGCTAATAGCTGACAGAAATAAACTACAAACTTGCAGCTGATAAGAAGAAAGCATTGTTCTCATTTTTTTTTAAAGTTGGCTTTATATTCTTAAAAAGTGGCATGGTATAATGCACTTGATAATTCGTGATAATTAGCTGCCTTAGTAGTTGGTTAATGACTGGGTGCTCGAAAACTTACCAAAGAGTATATCGATCTGAATGCTTGATTTAGATGCTATACTTAGGAGTTGATAAATGGCCTAAGGGAAGATAAGGAGGTGGCCTTTAAGAAAATCGGATTTAATACATAATGTTAAAGAAAAACTGCCGTGCCTGCAACAAGGTCCCGACAGATAGGCACATTGCGCTCAAGCTAGGAGTGGTTACTAAGAGGCACATGCCTGTCACAACATACACACTATCATTACTATTACTGTTACTATTATTATTATTATTATTATTATTATTATTATTAATTATTATTATTATGCCTATTCTTTTGCCAACATTATTGTTGTTGCAGCTGTTGTTATTGTTGTTGTTATTATTATTATTATTATTATTATTATTATTATTATTATTATTATTATTATTATTATTATTTATATTATTATTATTGTTATTACTGTTATTATTATTAGTGTTATTATTATTATTATTTGTAGTAGTAGTAGTAGTATTACTGTTAATTCGTTATTTTAAAAAAGACACTCTTCCCTCGAAATTATGCAATACAGACTCCAAGGTCTGCCTGTGATGTTTGTCGCCAGAAAGTATTGCCAGGTTATGGCCCATAGAGTGTTGTTGCGACAGCAGTGGGGCGGTATTGTTGTTTTTTCGTTTTGGGGAAAGTGATGCTGGCTGGTATCAGTGGGCAGAGGATAGAAGCGGTGATCATAGTTATAGTAGGAAAAGCAGTGCGTGATGGCTAGTTTATAATTACAAATCTCAGTTACCTGTTTGATTCACCAACAATGAAATCTTGAGTGGAACGACAGAAAAAAGGTAATCCAGCGGCCAACATCTGAGGTATTCTATTGAAAATAAATTATAAATGAATAAAATAGTGTGGATGAAAGGTGAGTGCATAATAAACAGGGCATCATCTTTTTCATCTTTTCCCCTCTGCACTGTTCTTCCCCGGGTTTCTTGTGGTCTTCCGTATTTTCGTCTATAAAATGTTATCTAGCCACTCGTTTAAAATTGTTTTGGCTTTAATAAATTATAACGTTTTGATAGTTCACAGTGCCGCCACAGAGACATTGAGCTTTCACTCGTCAACTGAAAATGCAAGTTTATGTAAAGCGTTAATCCTGCTCAGAGCGAAAATTCTACGACAGCAAATTCTACGTTAATTGGGGTTTTAAACATGAAGTGTTTTTTTACTCTCCCAAAGACACCATTTAGATCATTTAGGAGGCAGGTTTTGCATTCACACAAAAGAGCTCACTATTTTCACTAATTTTTCAACTGCACACACACACACACACACACACACACACACACACACACACACACACACACAAACACACATACAAACACACATACAAACACACACACATACACAATGAAGCACTTATTCACACACACACCACAATCATAAACAAACGTACAGGCGTACAAACTTCCATATAGACAGAAGGTCATGTAGATTATGCCGTCAATGTACTAACTTGTAATGTTGCCAATGTACCTGTAATGTTCGTCAGTATACGTGTAATATCGTCATTGTACTTGTAATATTCGTCATGCAATGTCACTGTACTTGTAATGTCGTCAATGTACTTGTAATGGTCGTCATGTAATGTCAATGTACTTGTAATGTCGTCAATGTACTTGTAATGTTCATCATGTAATGTCACTGTACTTGTAATGGTGTCAGTGTACTTGTACCGTCTTAATGTAATGTCGTTAACATATTTTTATTGTCGTCATATAATGTCGCCAATGTACTTATAATGTATTGTCCCTTGCTCTCTGCTGTCCTCAGCACCAGCATGCTCCATGTCATGACGACCAGCTCTGACGTGGACTTCACCAACAGGTGAGTCTCATTTTGTCATGTGTGTGTGTTTGTGTGTGTGTGTGTGTGTGTGTGTGTGTGTGTGTATGTGTGTGTGTGTGTGTATGTGTGTTTTACTCTCTCTCTCT